TCCCATCGAAGCCCACCTCAAGGCGATCCGCAGCGCCAACTCGACAGTCGAAGCCATCTTTCGCGGGGCAACCATCTCCAAGGCCACCGGCGTACCGCTGTTCATGAAACTGGTCTTGGCGACCAACCGCAACGTCTTGAGTGCCGTTGACACGGGACTGCCGTTCGACCAAGTATATTTCCACGAACCATTGTGGGCCAGGGTTGAAAAGCCGTACCGCAAATACCTTACCACGATCTTCAAGCTGGCCGGCCACACCGAGGTGGAGACGGCCATTGACGTCGTGATTGCGTTTGAACGCTTCTATGCCGGGGTAGAGCTGCCCAAGCGTAGGCTCCAAGCGGCCGTGACGCCCACCCGGTTGTCGCTCAGCGACGCTAACGCATCGTACCCATTGGGACTAGGTCTCCATTTGCAAGGGTTTGGGTTCGACGTCCACAAAGGGTGCAACACGACCACGGTCCTGCTGGAGAACCCCAATTTCTTCGACTTCTTAGAAAAAATGCTCAGCAGCTTACCCGTCGACGACCTCAAGACGATCATCGAGTACAAAGTGCTCGACTTCAACGCGCAGTACTTGTCAACACCGTTTGTGACAGCTCGTTCGGACTTCTATAGCCTGGTGAGTTTTGTCCAAAAAGAATCCCCACGGGCCACGATCTGCCGCGATCAGGTAAAGACGTCCATGGGCGATCTGCTGGGCACGTACTACCTCAAGGAAGTGTGGACGGACGAAATCGCCGCGCGCGCCGACTCGCTCGTGCTGAAGCTGAAAGCGGCCTTCAAGACCGGACTGGACAGTGCGGGGTGGCTCGATGACACAACTCGGGCCAACGCGACGACCAAGTTGTCCAAGCTCACCAGCCTCTTGGGGGGGCCTAAGAACCCCAAGACGTACCCCACCTTGACGTTTGACCCCAAGGCGTACATTGCCAACCTGAACAAGGTGTCTGCGTTCGACATTGCGTTTGACCTAGCTCAGATCGACACTGTCTATGACAAGGACATTTGGAATACTCCTGCGCACAACGCGAATGCGTGGTACCAGCGGGTGACAAACTCGATCGTGTTTCCCGCCTCGTTCTTGCAGCCCCCGCTCTTCGATGCCAAGGTGGACCCGTCCGCGAACTATGCCGGCACTGGCGTTGCTATCGGCCACGAAATTACACACGGCTTCGACAACGTTGGCAGATACTTTGACGGCGACGGCAAAGTTAATCCGTTGTGGTCGGCTACCGTGATGAAAACGTTCGACGAAAAAGCCAAGTGCTTCGTCGAGCAGTATGGTTCCATGGACATCAAGAGCGAGCTCACGGGTGAATTGTTCGGCAAGGTGGACGGCAAATTGACCTTGATCGAGAACATCGCCGACAATGGGGGCATCAACACTGCGTACCGGGCGTACCGGGACTACGTGCACGCTGTGTCTGAAGCCACCGAGTACACCAAGGAAACAGGAGAAAAGTTGTTTTGGATCAGGTACGGCCAATGTTGGTGCGAAAAGAACAGCGACAAGTACCTCCAGTTTCATCTCACCGACCCACACCCCCCTCGTCGCCACCGCTTGATCAGGACAGTTCAAAACTCGGTCGATTTTGCCAAGGCGTTCAACTGTCCTGTGGACTCGCCCATGAACCCGACCAAGAAGTGTGTAATGTGGGAAATCGATACACATACTCAATGTAATACTTCGAAGTAATAAGTATCCAAAACGTTCACAAACACGCCGCTGCGCTACAGTAAAATCCATAATGTTGGTGAAGACTCCGCTGTGCTACAGTACATACTGTAGTGTTCTAGCGGGAATTAGGAATGGCGCTTCGCGTACAAATCTTCGCTTTAGAGTAACTTGAAATAACTTCATTAACGAATGTTTACAGTACAAGCAAAATGCAAACGTTAGATAATACATGCTTTGCATTTGAATTATTCACTGTCAAGTAAATTATTCATGCGGGCGGGGGGATGAATAATTCATTGCAGGACATAGAGTGAAAAAGTATGACGTGCAAGTCATGACGGCAAATAAGTATTTCGCTGCCTCGGACATCAAGAATAAATATGAATAAAATATTGGTCACCACTGGCTCAGACATGGGGATGCAGCCGCTCCTTCACGCGGCCCTTTTAAAGATGCTGGTGCACTCCATCCGCCATGGCCATTAAAAGGGATCCGGCTGACCGTCGACAAGTCCGTGGACGTTCGCTAAATTGACAAGAAGGGTCGCAACCTGCTGCAATAACGATGCTACAACCTCTCGACATCATCATGTCTTGTAGGCTTGCCATCAAGCAAGTTACGGCAACTCGCATGCAGATGTTCGTGATCTTGACGGATGCGCGCTGCGATATCAACCACATAGACCTCCGGAGTTGCATGCATTATGCGTGGTACGTTCACCACTCACGTCCGTCGCTTGGTTTTGGATTTTTATTACTTCGTAGAATACTACGAAGTAAGAGAATGTGTATTAATAACTATTCTGCACAATAAGTTACACACTTCTTGGTCGGGTTCATGGGCGAGTCCACAGGACAGTTGAACGCCTTGGCAAAATCGACCGAGTTTTGAACTGTCCTGATCAAGCGGTGGCGACGAGGGGGGTGTGGGTCGGTGAGATGAAACTGGAGGTACTTGTCGCTGTTCTTTTCGCACCAACATTGGCCGTACCTGATCCAAAACAACTTTTCTCCTGTTTCCTTGGTGTACTCGGTGGCTTCAGACACAGCGTGCACGTAGTCCCGGTACGCCCGGTACGCAGTGTTGATGCCCCCATTGTCGGCGATGTTCTCGATCAAGGTCAATTTGCCGTCCACCTTGCCGAACAATTCACCCGTGAGCTCGCTCTTGATGTCCATGGAACCATACTGCTCGACGAAGCACTTGGCTTTTTCGTCGAACGTTTTCATCACGGTAGCCGACCACAACGGATTAACTTTGCCGTCGCCGTCAAAGTATCTGCCAACGTTGTCGAAGCCGTGTGTAATTTCGTGGCCGATAGCAACGCCAGTGCCGGCATAGTTCGCGGACGGGTCCACCTTGGCATCGAAGAGCGGGGGCTACAAGAACGAGGCGGGAAACACGATCGAGTTTGTCACCCGCTGGTACCACGCATTCGCGTTGTGCGCAGGAGTATTCCAAATGTCCTTGTCATAGACAGTGTCGATCTGAGCTAGGTCAAACGCAATGTCGAACGCAGACACCTTGTTCAGGTTGGCAATGTACGCCTTGGGGTCAAACGTCAAGGTGGGGTACGTCTTGGGGTTCTTAGGCCCCCCCAAGAGGCTGGTGAGCTTGGACAACTTGGTCGTCGCGTTGGCCCGAGTTGTGTCATCGAGCCACCCCGCACTGTCCAGTCCGGTCTTGAAGGCCGCTTTCAGCTTCAGCACGAGCGAGTCGGCGCGCGCGGCGATTTCGTCCGTCCACACTTCCTTGAGGTAGTACGTGCCCAGCAGATCGCCCATGGACGTCTTTACCTGATCGCGGCAGATCGTGGCCCGTGGGGATTCTTTTTGGACAAAACTCACCAGGCTATAGAAGTCCGAACGAGCTGTCACAAACGGTGTTGACAAGTACTGCGCGTTGAAGTCGAGCACTTTGTACTCGATGATCGTCTTGAGGTCGTCGACGGGTAAGCTGCTGAGCATTTTTTCTAAGAAGTCGAAGAAATTGGGGTTCTCCAGCAGGACCGTGGTCGTGTTGCACCCTTTGTGGACGTCGAACCCAAACCCTTGCAAATGGAGACCTAGTCCCAATGGGTACGATGCGTTAGCGTCGCTGAGCGACAACCGGGTGGGCGTCACGGCCGCTTGGAGCCTACGCTTGGGCAGCTCTACCCCGGCATAGAAGCGTTCAAACGCAATCACGACGTCAATGGCCGTCTCCACCTCGGTGTGGCCGGCCAGCTTGAAGATCGTGGTAAGGTATTTGCGGTACGGCTTTTCAACCCTGGCCCACAATGGTTCGTGGAAATATACTTGGTCGAACGGCAGTCCCGTGTCAACGGCACTCAAGACGTTGCGGTTGGTCGCCAAGACCAGTTTCATGAACAGCAGTACGCCGGTGGCCTTGGAGATGGTTGCCCCGCGAAAGATGGCTTCGACTGTCGAGTTGGCGCTGCGGATCGCCTTGAGGTGGGCTTCGATGGGAGCCAAGCCCAAGGTGTCTAATGTGTCAGTGTCCATACACGCGTCATAGAACTCGGCGAGTTTGGGCAGCTTGGCGTTCAACAACTTTTCGATCACCTTGTCCGCCACAGCATCAAGCACGGTGTGCACATTGATAGTGACGTTGCTGTAGAGGGTGGTCTTATTGTACCACGTCCCGCACGAATACGAAAAGAAGTCGGTGGTGTTTTCGTGATTTTGTGTGAATGCATGGTACCAAGTTCAAACTAGTATATGCGTAGGTGTCAACGGAGCGGTCGTCACAGCATGCTACTAGTACGAATGTTGCATGGTGGTTGTGAACAACCAAGCCCATCATGACACCAGTAGCAAAATAACTGTAGCAGAAGTACAGTAGTAACACTACTACAATATACGCAGCAGGAAGCGGCCTACTCAATCTACGAAGCTCCCTTCCCATACCAGTTGACAGCACATCATGTCCGTGCCATTCGCATTCTGACGAGATTGAGCTTGTGAATGGCGCGGACTATTCTGTTCTTGTACGTGTAATCGGGTATCACAATCGAACAAACCATGTGTGTCATCTCGGCTGTGAGTATGCTGCTCGTGTTCGTCAACAGTGTCGCTGTTTAAAGTGTCCAGCGATGCCAACGGCGGACCTGAACGCTTTGTCGGCCCTGTTCCGCCGGCAAGTGTTGGTAATTACCTGATACGGTTATTATCACACAGGTCAAGTGCCCTGTGTTGGCGTTAACACTGCCCGGATAATATTACTCTTATCCGGTTATTTGATGCAGTGGCGGCTGTGAATGGTTTGGTTGTTGCCTTTACCCCTCCAATCAGATCTGCAGATCTGATTGATATCCCACTCTATGTTTCTATGGCTATGATTTGATGTTGGCGGCACTGAGGAGCTTGTGCTCCTCACAACTCGATTGACACCCCAACGCACTGAGCCTTTGTTCATTGTGTACTACATTTCTTTCGTGTTTGTTTCCTTCATTGTGTTCACTCGTTTACCTGACATTTCAAGTACATGAATTCATCTGCACTGTCCCTGAAAGGCTCCTCGGAGTTGTCTCTTCTTGTGTTCAATGGGAAGAAAGATAC